TTTTCAGTTCTGAGATTTACTATCCAATTAATATCACTGACTGCCTCCAGACTGCCACAGGGATAGGGAGTGTGCTAATTACAACCCCTCATTCCTCTTCTTCCCCCACCCCACTTCCTCTCTGCCCTCTTTATTTTTTGTTTCCCATATTCTTCTCTCTTCTATAGGCCTTCAAATTCACCCTTTTCCCCTATCTATACTGTTGCTACATTAATAAAACTGTACTAACACATTTCTATTAGTAGTATCAGGAGATACCCTAGTCCCCCCCCCCCCAAATTCAATTTAAACTATTAGGAGATACCCCCTCCCCTTTCCCTCCTCATTTCCAATTTAAACTATTGGAGTTACCCTATCCCTCATATTCAGTGTAGACTATATGCATTTCAGCAATTTTGCATTTGTTTTTCAAAAAAAGTCTGTTAGCATCCTGGTACAAGCTAATGCCATGTTATGATATACTGTACTACATATACTGTGTGTTCTGTATTAACCACATGAACTGTAACATACACTGTCTTTAATCTATGCCATTTTTTCATATAAAAAACTAAATAAAAAAAAAATCAACCCTTTTTTAGTTCAATCTTACAATATTGTTGTAGCTCTTGTCATGATGATGTCACAAGCCAGCGATCTAAAGGACAGGTGTTGTAACAGTGTAACTTTGTAACAGCTTACAGAATTACATTGAATGGTCATTGTAACTAGCTGTTAATTATTGAAGGAAGAGCTTGAAGTGTGACTGGTATGCTTACAGACCAGGTCTATGCCACTAAACTGGCAACCAGTCCCAGCGGCAGCTTATGTACAGTATATGAATATGAATTATACAATAAACAAATAATAGTGCAGTGCCTCCCAATACTACAATATCCCTTGTGACAATACCTAAATAAATATATCATAACATATGTGTAAAAAATCATCATAACATTTACATGTGTGAAAAAAAGTCCCATATAATATAATCAGGGGCGTATTTACCACAAGGCAAACAAGGCACTTGCCTAGGGTGGCATTTTTCAAGGGGGCAACACATCCCCCCCAGAAGAAGGAATGGGAGATGGGAGAAGGGACAAGTGCGCCATGGGAACCAGGTGGGATCCGAGAGAAGCTGCGGGCTGCTTGATGGTGTATGTGGAGACTGACTCTCGTTCCCAGGGATGTCCAGAGCTATGAAGATGAGTGTCTTTCTATCACTGGGGGGGGGGTTACTGGAAGGCTCTCCCAGGTGGGGGGCAGGGGGGTGTTGTTGGTCAATGTCAGGCTCTCTCTGTGGGAGGGGGAAGGGGTGGTGGTGTTTGGTTTGTGTCCATGAAGGCAGATTTTCTTTGTGTTGCCCAGGGCAGCACAAAACCTAAATACACCACTGAATATAATGTGTATTTCTTGATGATCTTCCAATTTTTCACCAATTTACAGTTCTATTCACTGATCAGTTGATATGGTCACACAGTAATTTTTTTCCCATGTGGCAGGAGGCTGGCCGGCGCAGTGCGCACCATACATGTGTGTCTGACTGCAGCACGAGGCGGGCGAGCATGTCCATACCTTGGCTTCTAGAGGCCTACAATGAGAGGTTCAGAATCTTTGGCCCTTGTGGTTGGCTGGCCCAGGATTGTGTGCAAAGTATAAAAGCCTAACTGCTATCAAGTAAAGGAAAAAAAATCACTGTGTGATCATATCAACTGATCAGTGAATAAAAGAGGAGGATGAGGAGGCACGATAGAAGCACTAGAGACTGCCTGTGAGAAGAAGGAGATCCATCGGGGAGTTATCATTCTAATAGTCCCACTAGGAGGACACAAGCGCTTTATGACCAAACATTATAAAATGTGAGGTCAAAAAGCTCCGGGTGAGAGCACATCTTGGGTGATTGTGGAGGAGCACAATTTCTGAACATGAAGAGTTTGGTTGAATAGAGCTGTAAATTGGTGCAAAATTGGAAGATCAAGAAATACACATTATATTACATAGGACTTTTTTACACATATGTTATGATGATTTTTTACATATATGTTATGATATATTGATTTAGGTATTGCCACAAGGGGTATTGTAGTATTGGGAGTTACTGCACTATTATTTGTTTACTGTATAATTTCACACATATATATGAGTGTGTGAAGGGCGTAGGCGACTTTAAGGGGGATTGTTTTATATTGGTTGCTCGCAGGATCGACACCAATATATGAATATGAATTCCTCTAGGACATTTATATATGTAGAAGACTTAAGGCAGCCCATAGATGGATCAGTCTATATTTTGTTCAACCAGTGGGTTTAAAGAACAAAACTGATCCAATTCCCCATCCACACATTCAAGGTAGATGGGAGAACCCTCCCCGCTGAGCAATTGTATTCTGACAGTGGGCAGACTTCCCTGCCATCAGAATACACTGATCAGCTTTGTAGGTTATAGCCTGAAGCACTGATCAAACAGGGAAAATCTGAAAGAGTGGTTTTACAGAAGTCAATCGGTTGATTCTTGACTTCTGTACAACCACAGGGGTCATACATGGAACAAAATTTGGCAGGTCCTTTCTGAATTGCCCACATTTTTATCCATGTATGACCAGCTTAAATCAGTATTGCACAGAACTTTTTTTATCAAATAAAGGAAAGTAAAGTGTGTTTGTAGAAAGCACATATTTGAAATTATATCTGAACATTGACAACATTATCCACATCTATTTTACACGTATCTAAAAATAATGTAAAAGAATATACGTTGACTGACTATAGTAAGATTATTTAACTGACTTGAATCAAAGTTTAGCTAATAGGATCTCCAACTGGTTTGGTTTTACATGCACATGACCAGCTGTGTAAAATCCAGATTGGCAGCTGTTATATGTCTGGATCAAGCAAGAAAAAACAAAAGCAAGTCTAATGAGCACATACACTGAATAATGCAGTAGGTTTAATCCTGCCCATTGGATATCTAAACAGTTATTGATCAGAAAAGTCCTTGACACATAGAAACATTTTTGATACAATGGATGAATACCTGTTAGACAAAATTCAAAATACCTATAGCAAAAATTAGGCATCAGCTCAAAACCTCATCATTATATGGCATATGTAATGGTCTAAGCATTATTTCTGGGACAATCCTTACATACATATTCTACACTGATCAGGAGTAAGTATTGTGGTGTCCTAAATCTTATAAAGAGCCACTTGTTGTTTAAGCTATGAATACAGCACCTGCCTGACTGCATTGTTATACTCTTCTGTGTCCCGGAGCAGAAAACCTGGGTCCATCAGGGATGCTTTTAAGAAAAAGAACCACATCAGTACATTGCTGAGCAGGAATGTGATATGCCATTCCCAGAGATAATTATACGAGACAGGCACAATCTGTAGAAGACAGGAAACAGAGTGTTTAGTCAGCAATATTCCACAATGTATAAATTATAGAAACAGCACTCACAGTTACATAGTCAAATATCAGCCTTAGATTTACTTCTATAGACCATGCATTGATTGATGGGGAATGTAAAAACAGGAAACACATACACCGCAGACAGATGTATGTATGATTTCACAGTTTAACTAAAGAGGAAGAGTAAAATACAAAGTGGATGGGATATATAGGAATATATAGGGCAGCAAGTGAACATGTTGTTCCTGACGTTGATGTATTGAAAGCAGAAAAAAAGTGTAGGGACTGCGGTGACTTTGACAAGAACCAAATTATAATGGCTAGATGACTGAGCCAGAGCATCTACAAAACTTCAGCTCTTGTGGGATGTCCCCAGTCTGCAGCATTCAGAACCTACCAAAAGTGGTGCAAGGATACAAAAACAGTGAAACAGCGACAGCGTCATGGATGGCAAAGGCTCATCAAAGCACATGGGGAGCAAAGGCTGACCTGCATAGTCTGATCCAATAGAGTAGCTCAAACTGCTGAAAAAGTTAATGCTGGTTCTGATAGAAAGGTGTTGGAACACCCAGTGCATCGCAATTTGCTGTGTATGGAGCTGTGTAGCCACAGAACAGTCAGGGTTCCCATGCTGACCCATGGTCGCAGCCAAAAGCGCCTACAATGGCCACGTGAGCATCAGACCTGGACCACAAGAGCAATGGAAGAAGGTGGCCTGGCCTGATGAATTTAAGAATAATTTAAGGAACACAATAACAATCTCAAGGTGTTGACTTGGCCTTCAAATTCTCCAGATCTCAATTCAATCAAGCATCTGTGGGATGTGCTACAAAGACCAGTCTGATCCATGGAGGCACCACGTTGCACCTTACAGAACTTCAAGGATCAGCCACTGATGGCTTGGTGCCAGAGAACAAAGCGTCTAGTGGAGTCAATGCCTTGATAGGTTATGGTGGGTTGTCATAATTTTATGGCTGATTTGTATTTATTTAGTGTGTATATATATGTATAAATATATATATATATATACAGTATATACACACACACATATACATATACAGTGCTCAGCATAAATGAGTACACCCCAACAGATTTGTCAGAAAACCTTTACTTTACTTTCAGAATCAACATTTTCTATCGGACAATATATTCAAAATACTCCCACAAATGTGGGTCATTGATTGCAAACAAGATTTGTTAATTTGCATACACAAAAAGTATTTTTCTAACAAATTTGTTCAAGACCATGTTGCAAAAATGAATACACCTCAACAAACAAGAATTCAATTACAGGTCTAATTCTTCATTAAACAGGTGTCCAGTAGGCAGTTGATTATAAAAGGGCGTTACTTAACAAAGAAAACTCCTTCCCATTTCATGCTGGCAGCAATGGCACCACATGGAAGAGTAATATCACAAGCCATGAGAAAGAAAATAATTTCTTTACACAAAAAAGGTGAAGGCTACAAGAAGATCAGCAAAGCTTTACTTATCAGTCAGAATACTGTAGCAAAAGTGATACAAAAATTTAACAAAGATGGAACTGCAACCATCTCACAGAAATGTCAAGGCCATCCATGGAAGTTAACACCTCGACAGGAGCGTCTTCTGATGAGAAGGGTTGAAGAAAATCATCATGCAAGTTCACTGCAGTTAGCTAAAGAATTAGAAAGCCAAACTGGGGTGACTGTTTCCCGTGATACAATATGGCGTTCACTGCAGAGGAATGGCATGCATGAGTGTTGTCCACGAAGGAAACCTCTCCTAAAGCCCATGCACAAAAAAGCCCACCTAGAATTTGCCAGAGCCCAAGCTAAAAAAGAAGAGGACTACTGGGACTCTGTACTCTTGTACTTTGGTGTGATGAGATAGATAAATGTTTTTGGAACTGATGGCTTCAAAACTGTATGGTGCCACAAAGGTGAGGAGTAGAAAGAAAAATGCATGGTGCCTACAGTGAAATATGGTGGTGGCAGTGTCCTTCTGAGGGGCCATGAGTGCTGCTGGTGTGGGGGAGCTGCATTTCACTGATGGTATCATGAATTCACAGATGTACTGCTCTATACTGAAAGAGAATATGCTACCATCACTCCATGCCTTTGGTCGTAATTTTTCCAACATGGCAATGATCCAAAGCACACATTTAAGGCCACTGTTGCATTTCTGAAGAAGAACAGGGTGAAAGTGATTCAGTAGCCAAGTATGTCTCCTGATCTGGCCCCAATCGAACACCTGTGGGGAATTCTGAAGAGACAAGTTGATCATCACTCTCCATCCAGCATCCAGGCTCTAAAAGAGGTCGCTCCTGAAGAATGGAAAAAGATAGATATTGCAGTATGTCGCCAACTTGTTCATTCCATGCCTAGAAGACTGGTCATGGAGGTCATACAAAATACTAGACGGAGTAGTTTTTGTTGTGGGGTGTATTAATTTTTGCATCAACTAATTTGAGTAAAATTGAAGATTTTGTAATCTAAGTTATATTATTAACCTTACTTTCATGTAATGAGCTAAACAAATGTTCTCTACAGCTTTGTCATAATTTTGGAAATTGTTCTTGTGTTCATTGAGATATTGATTAAAGTCTTACCTTTCAAAAGGGGTGCACTCATTTATGCTGAGCACTGTATATATATATATATATATATATATATATATATATACATATAATTATATAAAAAATATCATATATTCCAATCTTATTTTCACCTGCCAAATTATTTTAGCCAACCTGGACCTTTTTGCAGTTAAAGTGTTACTAAACCCAACATAAAATCCGTCTGTGCTGTATATGCAGTAAAGCATGCTTGTTATACTCACTATGGAACCCACAATGTGTAAAAAGTCTGTTTGATCCTGTTTTCCCTGATCCTCTCTTTCTTCCACAGTCCCCAATCCATCTGCTGATAGTACAGAGCCCTAGGAGTCACTCTGCACATACTCAGTTTGGTGTGTATTGCTAAAGTGTTTTTTTTTTTTGGGAGGGTGCATGTGATCAGCGCAGGGCCAATCAGAACTGTCCAAGCAGAGGGTCAAGGGTCATGCAGCATCATAGGACAGTCAGAGAAGAATGAAAACGCCTCCTACAAGCTTTAACCAGTGCCCGGTCGGACACTGATAGAAGTCACAAGACTGCTATATACTGCTGATGAGAAAAGGTATTTAGCAGTTTATATTTACTAAAATAATTGCATTTCCATATTCTGTGTACTGTGGGAGACCAGATATAGTGAATGCAGGGTCCTGGGTTTAGTAACACTTTAAAGCAATACTAAACAGTAATTATTTTATTTTTTGTAATATAACAAACATGTCATACTTACCTGCTGTGTGCAGTGGTTTTGCACAGATCAGCCTGGATCCTCTTCTTCTTGAGTCCCCCGCAGGTTCTCCTGGGTCCTATTTCTGTCAGGTGCCCCCACAGCAAGCAGCTTGCTATGGTGGCACCCACTGCTCCGTGTGTCCATTCACACATGCGGCTGTGACTTGGCCCTGCCCCCTCTCTCTCCTCATTGGCTGACTGGCTGTGATTGACCGCAGAGGGAGCCAATGACTCCCGCTTGCTGTCTCAGTCAATGAGAAGGCAGAGACCCGGGACAGCCGAGGCTGTCATGCACATCGTTGGATCTCGATGGAGCCTAGGTGAATATTAGGGGGTGCTGGGAGCACTGTTGCACATAGACGGCTTTTTTACCTTCATGCATAGAATGCATGAAGATAAAAAAACTCAAGCCTTTACAACCACTTTAAGCTTGGTCAATAACTAGTTAATGGGACCTACTCATTTTAACAAGTATATAATAGACTAGCTATCTGTAAGTTTGAATTCGATTTTGACTCTTATCATTTTACCTTAAAAAAGTATGTTGGGTATCCCCAAAGAAACAGATTGCCATAAAAGAAGAGGATAGGTCCTTTTGATTTTCCTGGGCGACCAAACAACCATGTACTGAAGAGAAAAGGAGTTAATTATTAGTAACAATGTTTAGAGCAAAGTTGCTCAACCCTATAGAACTGAACACATATGATTTACACAGGTTCTGTCACTAATTATGATGGAAATTATGATGGAAATTATGATGGAAGTCAAATTCACTCAGTGCCTTACCACTGTATCAGTGCAGGTTCACATCTGTGCAGTGCATTTAGGTGTATTTTACATGAGAGTGCCACTGAACATAGAACATGCATTTTTAAAGATGCAGCAAGCAGGATTTTTTTTAAACCTAAAATGCACATAAAATGCACAGGTGTGAGTGAGGCTCTAGTCACATGAATATATAAAGAGGACTTCCTGTGCTCAGAACCTAATATAACTATTAAGGCTGCTAACACCTGCACCTTGTTACCTAAAAGTGAAAAAAGCAAAAAATACAAAAAATAGGTGTAGCGCTCTCTAACAAAACAGTGACTAGAATTCCCGATAGGGAATAATAATGTGACAAGTAGTGGAAAAAACAACCAGCTAAAATGATCCAATATTGGATAAATAACACAAGTGAATAACCACAATACAATGTATTGATATGTAGTGAAAACACACCTGTGATCCCAGCACTGGGAGATAAATCCTGCACAAAAGGTGACAAACAAGTGCTCCATGTCCAAACACTTAAATCAAATAACAAATATATAAATAAATATATAAAACCCCTAAAATATAATTGATCCAATGATACACAAAATGGTGAAAAAAAATGTATATATAAATGCATGGGTTCTTTTGAGAGTCCAAAGATGGCGTCCACGCCAGAAGTTACGTCACCTACGCGTTGCGTCACCGCTCACATGACTTCATCAGGGTGACATCATTGGTCGACCATACTTCCTTATATTGGGAATCAATCTGACCAATCTAGTTAATGGGTGGACTTACGGTGGCCATTTTCCCGTGGACCGCAATGATCTTCAATCCTACCACTGTACCAACCTGCTCGTTCTATTATTCTATTGCAACCAGAAAATATTTATATAGGAGCTAAATACCTTGATATAAACCTCCCAAATGATACCCATTAATACACAATTATCCTATGGGATCTTGTAGACTCCTATAGTAAACGGTGGCCATATTACTGAAGCCCACAGGGATGGCTATTAACATATACTAAATGAAAACAAATGGCTCTATTATTAAAACCCAAAACAATTAAACCCCAACATAGCTAATATTATTAACCCAGGATAAAAATAAACTTTAATGGTAGCTATATAATAAAACAAATAATGAGAAATAGATATATATAAAATGATGTAATCACTATATGAACCCTACTGTATTAATACTGCACTATAATATTCATGACAACCAATAGATATATAACCCTCTATATGGGGACAATATTAATATTAGTAACAATAACCGGGATATCTAATAATAATACGATACTCAACTAACCCTATAAAAAAACCTAAAAAAGGGGGTTAAAATATAAATATATAAAATATATAAAAAATCTATTTAATAAAAAAAAAATTATATATATATATATATATATATATATTATAAAAAAATTATAAAAACCTTACAAGTACACCACATACCACTCAGTATACAACATATAATACACTAATGTATTATAATAATAATAATAATAATAATAAATTCCTAATAAAAATGATGATAAAATGATCATGAAAAACAGTCAGGTAGATAAAAACTAATAATTACTATAAAAAAATTGAGGTCGAATTCAACATTAAGTCCTCCAGGTGCCTGCGTCTTCATATTATAGATCCAACGGGATTCTGCCTTACTCAACGTACACACCTTATTGCTACCTCTCCAGTGACATTTATACTTTTCTAATCCCCAAAACCGTGCACAATTCCAATTATATATACAGTTCCTAAGATTTCATTTAGTATATGTTAATAGCCATCCCTGTGGGCTTCAGTAATATGGCCACCGTTTACTATAGGAGTCTACAAGATCCCATAGGATAATTGCGTATTAGTGGGTATCATTTGGGAGGTTTTATATCAAGGTATTTAGTTCCTATATAATTATTTTTCTGGTTGCAATAGAATAATAGAACGAGCAGGTTGGTACAGTGGTAGGATTGAAGATCATTGCGGTCCACGGGAAAATGGCCACCGTAAGTCCACCCATTAACTAGATTGGTCAGATTGCTTCCCAATATAAGGAAGTATGGTTGACCAATGATGTCACCCTGATGAAGTCACGTGAGCGGTGACGCAACGCGTAGGTGACATAACTTCTGGCGTGGACGCCATCTTTGGACTCTCAAAAGAACCCGTGTAAGTACACCCATGACATGAGGTTCTAAGGCTATGTACAAGATGCTTAACAATGTGAGTGCTTTGGTTATATCTATTTTTATTGCTTAATAAACGATATCATGCTATGGAAGTTCTTTCTATTTATGGATCGTGTGGGAGCTGGTCTTATTGATTAGAGCCATTTAAAGGGGAATATCAAGCTGGTCTTGGTCTGGAAGGCATATGCTGTGACTTTTGCTTTGAAATTGTCTGGAGGACATGATTTGATCCAGGAGGATCCAGGAGTGATCCCAAAGGCATGTAGGCCCTTTTAGGGTCATGATAAGGAGGTGAGGAGCCAATCTAGCTGTGTGTGGAATCATCACCAGAGGCTACAACGCACAAGAATCACCTGCATGTTTTTTACATATGTTTGTGCACACTGGTGTCATGTATTGTCAGATTGGATTCATATCATTTTTCAGGAGATTTTATATATATATATATATATATATATATATACATTTTTTTCACCATTTTGTGTATCATTGGATCAATTATATTTTAGAGGTTTATATATTTATTTATATATTTTGTTATTTGATTTGAGTGTTTGGACACAGAGCACTTGTTTGTCACCTTTTGGGCAGGATTTATCTCCCAGTGCTGGGATCACAGGTGTGTTTTTCACTACATATCAATACATTGTATTGTGGTTATTCACTTGTGTTATTTATTCATTATTGGATCACTTTTAGCTGGTTGTTTTTTTCCACTACTTGTCACATTATTATTCCCTATCGGGGATTCTAGTCACTGTTTTGTTAGAGAGCGCTACACCTAGTTTTTGTATTTTTTGCTTTAGTCACATGGCCATGTAATTTGGATTAAAAGGAATCAGGTGGTAACCCTAGTTTAGCACGCATTAAGGCTAGGTTGACACCTATGCAGTTTGCATTTGATCAGTTTCTGGAGTGTTTTTTGTGGTCCGTTTTGTGTTTTTGCACATAAGTTTTTTTATGTGT